TCTCTTAAAAGTCAAAGTCTTTCTTTCTTTCTTTCTTTCTTTCTTTCTTTCTTTCTTTCTAGACCTTCTATATATTTTTCTCAAATTTCTAATGAAACCAAACCAAACCAAACCAAACCAAAAAGCTGAGACAGGCCCAAATAAAATCTATTGAACTAATGCACAAAATATGATTCTGATTTAGGTAAATGAGATCTGACCACCCAGATCTGAGCAGTCTTGCTCCAGAAGTTAGCCTGAGCATTCCCAAAACCTTGTCTCTGTTTCTATTTTCATGTCCTTTTAATCAGCAGTTAGCCCAGACAGCAGCAGTCGTGTCAATGGTGGCAGCAGCAGATGGGCAGGTAGGTTCCTCTTCCATGCCTGCTCTCCTGGGAAGTACACTGGGAGCTGGAGTGGGGGAGGGAAGATGAGAGAGTAAGCAGGGGTGTAGGTTGCTGGGGGGCTATGGGACAGTGGACCAATCTGGGCTGGGGAGGAGGGGGACAGCAGAGCCACTGAGGGACAAGGGTGGGCAGGCAGTGGGCCAGCAGATGGGAAGCGTGAGATGGCAGCCCAATCTAGAAGAGCGACGGGGAGGCAGTGGACCCAATCCAGGTTGGCAGGAGAGGGGGAGGGGTGGGATGTTACACTAATGTGTAGCCTAGAGTGGCCCCATATTAGTGTAGCATGAACTGGGTAACAGATCACAGAAAAAAACCCTGCTCTGGAGTAGCATAACTTTAAGCTGCCTAAAGGTGCTAAAAAACATTTTCACTTGTTAATCTATAGGCAATCCATGGTTTAAGAGTTCCAATCTCCACCTAAAATTAACATGCAACAAAACCCTAAGATAGTTTCCTGCTTCCTTGGACCATACTGAAGGTTTTGAAGAAACTAAAGCAACATTCCATGTTAATAAACCTGATAGTGCTGGGGAATTCTAATATCCAGACTGCATGACACATAATTCTGATAATACTGAACTGGACGTAGTCTCCCAGAACAGCAGAACATCTTGTATCAATATTGGCTCCCTCACAGCTCACATCCTGGAGAGAAAGTTTGTCCTAGAGATGTCTGAAAATTGTTTAACTGAATAGAAGAGTCCTTATAAGCATTGCTTATGCAGTGAGGTGGAGATAGGACAGAGCCTTGGGGGACACTGCTGCCCACATCTCTCCAGGTAGAAACTGACCCATCCACCACCAATCTCTGGGTTTGTCCCATAAGTCAGTTTACCACCCACCTGACTGTGAAAAAAATGCACACCACAGCTACTTAGTTTACTTGTAAGAATTGGCTGTGACACTGTCAAAAACTTTTAAAAATCCAAGTAAATAACATTTACCTCTACTCCTGCATCTAAGCACTTTGTGACTTAGTCATAAAAAGAGACCAGATTAGTTAGTCAGGATCTGCTTGCTATAAACCCATGCTGGTTGTCCTTTAACATCGTTTTACCTGCTGCCCCCCCCCCCATATGTGATCCTTTATGATTTTTTCTAAGGTCCTGCCAAGAATAGAGGTGAGGCTAACCATCCTATAATTACCTGGGTCCCTCTTCTTGAAAATAGGGACCACACTGGCCCTATTCCAGTCCCCTGGGACCTGTCCTGAGCACCATGAACACTTGAACAGTTGCACCAGTAGTTTTGCTATGACACCAGCGAATTCCTTTAGTACCATTGGGTGAAGATCATTGGGGCCTGCTGACTTAAATATGTCCAACCCCTCCAAGTGCCCCTTCACTAGGTCAGCACTGACTGTTGGTGGATTGGTATCTCTCTCATGCCAGACTAAAGTTTCATTGGGAAGTGTGTTTGTATCCATGTCCAGGAACACAGATACAAAGAAATCATTTAAGAGCTCAGTTTTGTCCATCCTGTTACAAGTTGCCCTAGTCCATCCTGCAGTTACCCTGCACATTCTTCTTGCTCCCTATGTACTTAAAGGACTTTTTGTTACCCTTAATCTTTGTTGCCAGCCTGAGTTACATTTCTGCTTTGGCCTTTCTCACTGTTTCCCTGTAAGCGTGAGGCAAGCAGGTGGCTCCTTCTTGGTGGCTGTGCCCTGCTTCCACAGCCTGTAAGCCTCTTTTCCCCTGCAGGCTCTCCTGGATTTCCCTGCTTAGCCAAGAGGGTTTCTTGGTTCTTTTGCCTCCCTTTATGTATACTGGGATGGTACCCCTCTCTGCCTGCAGGATCAAGCCCTTGAGGATTCCCAACTCACTGATGTTATTACCTCTCAGTCCCACTCTAACTACTCTCCTGAGCTCATTGAAGTTGGCCTTCTGGAAGTCTGGCACTTCTGCCCTACTAGTTATCTTTCCTACCTTCCGTTGGATAGTGAATTCTATCAATAGGTGGTCACTATCTCCTAGGTTACCTTGTACCTGCATATCCCCCACCAAGTCCTCCCCTGTGGCTAGCACTAAGTCAAGTAAGGCATTTTCCCTAGTGGGACTGCATACTTCCTATATTAGGTGCAGGTCCTGTATTTAGGTTAGGAACCTACTTGAACAGGCAGACCTGGGTGACTGCTCCTCCCAGCAGATGTTCAGGTAATTTAGGTCACCCATGAAAACCAGGTTCTTTGAGTGTACTGCCTTTGAGAGTTGTATTAAGAATTCCAGGTCTAACTTCTCCTCCTGATGTGGGGGTCTGTACCTCCACTACAAAGTCCCTTTCACACCTATCCCCTTGTAGTCTAACTCATAGGATTTCAATCTGTCCTTCTGTCCCCATCTTTATTACAGAAGATGTGTAATGATCTTTAATGTATAGAGCAATGCCTGATCTTTTTTGGGAGTGCCACAGCAGGGTTGCCACCAGGATGCCACCACCAGGAACAGGTGGGCTCTGTGGGAGTGCCACAGCAGGGTTGCCACCACCTGCTGCTGAAGCTACCTAGACGTATCAGCTGTGCCAGTGGGGCACCAGAGACTGGATCCTCTTGCTCTGGTGGTTGGTGGTGGTAGTTGAGACTAGGTGGTGCAGGAGCAGATATGGCAGCAAGCATGGAAGACACAGGAGCTGGCCTGGTGGGATGAAGACATCACCCAGACCACCTAGGATGAGGCATGGGACTGGGTGTAGTGGGTGCGGTGGGCCCAGCTGGAGGCCCTGAAGCAGTGTTGTGTGAAGCTGCTCCAGCAGCAACTGCACAGCCACAGCCATCCACTGGAGCCCATGTGCAGCCCTCCCCAAATGCTAGGCCCAGGGCCACAGCAGGCCCTTGTCTGGACCTTTGCAGATGGCCTCCACTACCTTCTGCCTGCAGGATCCCCTGTCATTTGCCTCTGCCCCAAGACCTGTTGGGGAACTGTCTGTGGCCAGGGTGCTGGCTGCCTGCCACTGAGCTCAGCACCTTGGGCGCTCCCACTGCACAGTACCCGACTCCAGGACTTGGAGAAAGACTGAGACTGATGTGTATAGTTTTCATTTTGGGAGGAGGGCTTTTTATTGTTGGTGGGTGGGGAGGATGGTGGAGGGGCTCTGTGTGTTGGGGAGGCGGGATCTGTTGGTTGAGGGGGGAGGTGGGAGGATGGGAGTGGGGGTTTTAAGGGGAATAAAGGTTTTAATTAAAAACATGCATGTCCTGGAGAGGTGCTGGGGGGTGGGCAGTGGGCAAGGGGTATGTGACTGGTGGACCAGGCAGGTGTTGGGGATGGCCAGCTGCTTCTCCATGTCCCGACATTCCAGATGGGGCTGGAGCTGGTGCAGCACGTCTTCCAAAGTGGCCTAGGTCTCTCGGAACATTTCAACCCACTGGTCATCGTCCCATTCCTGCAGCACAACACACTGCCACCAGTGCTGGGTGGTGTGGCAGGCCCAGAGGTGATGGAGCTGGTGGGACAGGAGGGTGATTCATAGATTCATAGATGTTAAGGTCAGAAGGAGCCTCAATAGATCATCGAGTCTGACCCCCTGCATAGGCAGGGAAGAGTGCTGGGTCT